TGGGTGGGTTGGTGAGTGTGTTGGTGGATGTATGTATGGATGAAGAGATGCATAGATGAGTGGATAGATGGGTGAATGGGTGGATGGATGGATGGATGGATGGATGGTTGGATGAGTGGGCAGGCAAATGAATGGATTGATGGGTGTATGGATTGGTAGATGGGTAGATGAATAAATGGATAGATGAATGAATGAGTGGATGGATAGATGGGTGGGTAGATGAGTGAATAGATGGACGAGCGGATGGTTGGGTGGGTGAATGGATGAATCCATGGGTATATGAATCGATAGGTGGGTAGATTAATAAATGGATAGATCAATGCTTGGGTGGGCGGATGGATGGGCTGGTCATCGGCGGGCATATGAAGTGACAGGCGGGTAGATGGATAGGTAGATAAATAGTGGGTAGATGGATGGATGGATGGATGGATGGGTAGATGAGTCGATGAGTGGATAGAGGGGATGAGTAAGTGGATGGGTGGGTGGGTGGTGGTATGGATGGGCGGATGGACAAATGGATGGACAAATGGATGGATGAGTATATGGACTGATAGGTGAGTAGATGATGGACGGGTGGGTGAATGGATGGATGATGGGTGCATGGTTGTGTATGGGCGGATGGCTGGATGAGCAGGTGGGTGGATGGATGACCGGGTGGATAGATGGATGGGGAGGTGGGTGGATAGATGGACGGGTGGATGAGCGGCTGGGTGGGTGAGTGGATGGATGAATGGCTGTGTGGGTGAATGGACAGATCACTGGGCATCTTGATTGATAAGGAGGTAGATGAATAAATGGATAGACGAGTGAATGGGTGGGCGGGTGGATGGATGGGTGGATGTGTATATGGATTGATAGACGGGTAGATAAAAAGATGGACGAATGGGTAGATGGATGGGTGCTTGGATGGATGAGTAGAGGAGTGGATGGATGGATGGATGGACGGATGGATGATAGATGTGAATAGATGGGTGATGGTGGATGAATGGGCAGATGAATGGGCAGGTGGGTAAACAGGTAGACGGAAGGGGGAATGATTATGCGAATGGATGGATGGCTGGATCATTGGGCAGGTGATTGTGTGGATGGATGAGTCACTGGACTGACATAATGAACTCCTCATCTTTTTTTAGGTTATTGACATTTTTTTCCTGAGTTGTAGTCTCACTCTATCACCCAGGCTGGAGTGCAAGGGCACACTCGTGGCCACCCTAGCCTTGAACTGCTGGGCTGCAGCAATCCTTCCGCCTCAGCCTTCGAAGTAGCCGGAGCCGGAACTACAGGCCCACACTACCACACCTGGCTAATTTTTTTGATTTATTGTGGAGATGAGGTCTCGCCAATTTGCCCAGGCTTGTCTTGAAACTGCAGGGTTAGGCAATCCACTCGTCTTGGCCTACCAAAATTCTGGGATTACAGGCTGAGCAACCGAGCCCAGCCAATTATTAACTTCTTTTATGGGCTGGGGCAGCATCTTCAACTTTTTGTATCTCCCTTACTCCAGACCATCCAGGCTCAGGCTGAGCCTACATTAAGCCTCAATAAAAGCACGATTAAGGAATTAATTAACTAAGCAACCAAATGAAATAAAAGTCATGCTGATCTGAGCAAAATAAGGAGGGTGGATTGTCCAGCCTGTCCCTTGCCACACCCTCCCCCCCCACCATCAAGGCTCTGGACTTGGTCCAGCCCCTCAGCCTGTCACACTTGAGACTTTAGGAATAAACCTGAGTCCTCTCAGGGACAGTGGCTAGTGTCCCACTGTACAAAAGGCTTTGCTTACTGATGGGAAAAATCCAGGCACCTTAGACTCTCCAAAGGAAACAGAAGTAGAACATGAGTCTCAACTCTCTGGGCAGGAAGGAACCCTACCTCTGGCTAAGGAATTAGCTTATCGGGGAAGAAAATTGCACAGCTTGCCAGTGTTGGCATTCCTTGGTCTTCCCTGGGCCATTGTGTCCTGTGGGACCCACTGGATCTGACATGCTTTCAGAGGGAAAAGGAGTTAGACATGCTCAGTAAGATCAGAAGGGCCTCCTGAGAGCAAAAAACTTACAACCAGAGTCAAGCATGGAAGTCAAGATGGAGGGCCACGATTCCCCAGCCCTGAAGTCGGTGGCTCAGGGACAAAGTCCAGGTGGGGGGGCTGGAGAATGAAGAGGGAGCTGGACGCCTTATGTTTGGATTCTAGGACAATCATAGTCCTGGAACCCTGCCACCATCCAGCTCTGAGACTCTAAGCGTGTTTGCCTCCTCACTGGGCCTTAGTCCCCCCATCTGTAAAATGGAACTCCAGGCCCTGTCTACCTGACCTACGAGGCTCTTGTGAGTTCCAGCCACAAGGTGGGCATGCCAGCAGGCAGAGGAACACAGTGCCCCAAGTGCCCCATGGCGCTCTAACTTCAGGCTCATCCACATGGCTCTCCAGGGTTGTCTTTGAAAACAGGAGCTCCCCTGGGCAACGAGGTGATAGAGGAACAGGTATGGTCGACAGAGATGTGGTCACATCTCTTCTCCTCCCAAGCAACTTTGGTGGCTCCAGGAACAGACATGACCCGGGGACTGGCCTCAGGTATGCAAAGAGTCCGCCAAGCCTTGCTGCAGTTTCAGCTCAAGAGAAGATGTTTACTGCCAGAGGGGAGGTCCATACAGCAGTCTGCTCCCCTCCAGGAGGGGACAGAGGAAGGAAGGGGAGGTGAGAGAAGGGGGGGAAAGGAGAGAGAAGGGACAGTGAGGAAGTGAGGGAGGGGACCCAGACACCCAGTGAAGGTTAGACAGCCCAGCTGGACAGTCCAACTTGCTGGTGATGACTAGGTGTGGCTTTGCCTCCGTGGCTTGAGCTGAGAGGGTCCCCTGAGCAGCAAGCTGGCCCATTTCCCATCCTCTCAGAGACCCTCTCAACGCTGGTAGGAGAGCCCACTGGATATCACCACATAACCCTGAAGGAAAGAAAACCATGGACCAGGTCAGAGGCTGTATGAGGCCAGGCGGGACCCCCAGCTGCCCCATCAGACTGGCTCTGAGCTCATGCTTGCCACATGTCCTGAGGAGAGTCCTTTGCCTCTCTGGGCCCAGTTTCCTAGCCTGCCACGTGGGGGTGATAGCAGCACCCACCTTGCCAGGTACTGTGAGGACACAGTGAGATCCCCAGGGGAAGTGCTTGGCTGTGGTCAGCACCATCACTGTCTTATGACTGGAGTCCAGAGCCACTGCGTGCCTTCTGCAAGTCCAAGTCTCCCCAGCAGAGCGGCTCCCCCAGCTGCCCCACTCTGCACTGCAGAGACGCTCTGGAGGGCTCTAACCTTTCATTCAACCCCCCCCCCCCCCCCCCCCCCCCCCCCCCCCCCCCCCCCCCCCCCCCCCCCCCCCCCCCCCCCCCCCCCCCCCCCCCCCCCCCCCCCCCCCCCCACGCCTTCACTGAGCCTCTCCTGCAAGCTCAGCCCTGCAACAGAGACCCAGCAGAGAAAGAGGCCTGGCTCTGCCCAACATCGCTCATGGTCCAGGGCTTCCTGGCCCATCACCGCAGCCACAAGCCTCGTGTGGCCAATTAGGTGGAAATTAATTCAAATAAAATAAAACTAAACACTGCTCTGCAGTGGCTCCAGTCCAGTGCTCAGAAGCCACATGTGCCCGTGGTCACTGTGGTTGCTGCCTTGGACAGCTCAAGGTTCCATTCCTGCAGAAAATGCCATTGGACAGGACTGGATGAGGGATCTTTGGCTCCCGGCCTGGGTGGCTGACTCGTGAGCACTATGGGGCTTAGCCACAGCCTAAGCCTGTTGGGGGAGTCTCAGGGAAGTTCCCACAAATGGCCCTGCTCCTCTGCATACCCTTGTTCCTCCTCACAGGGGAGAGAACTGCCCCCACTTCCCCAAGTCCAGCCTCTCTCCAGGGGCGAACAAGAGCCCCTGGTCACACCCAAAGGCTCTTACCTCATAGACAAAAACCTCGGGGTTGGCGTAGTAGAGGTTTACCACATTGGGGAGGGCGATTCCCATGCCCAGGAGAGCTGCAGGGGGAGAGGAGAAGTCAGCTCAGCAGGAAGCAGGAACGGGTCACCACCTAGAGCTGGCCCCGAGCTGAAGTTCTCACGTGCATGGTGGCACTGAGTCTTCGCAGACACCCAGGTGGTGGACACCATCGTTATCATACCCATTTCACAGAAAGGAAAACTGAGGCTCCGAGAAGGAAAGGAACTTAGCAAAGATCACACAGCTGCCGGGCTCCAGGGACCTCCCTCTTCACCTCGGAGCCTGGGAGGTGGGCAGTGGCCAGGACTGAGCACAGGGCAGGTGTGGGGTCAGGGAGGGACCAGAGGATGGAAGGCAGGGCTCACCATTGAGGTGGTTCAGCAGGGGCTTCTCAAATACACTGCCCATGAGTGCATGCACTTGATCCGTCTGCGGCCAGAGCCAAGGCGATGGGCCCACTCCAGTTGAGGGGCCAGGGAGACGGACAGTTAGGCACGAACATCAACACACGCACACAGACAGACAGCGGCGGCGGAGGCGGAGGGAGGAGGGCGGCCCATCACATCTTGGGCTCACGGGGAGCCCGGCTACGCCCCGGGGCTGGGTCAGCCTCCTGGGGTTCAATACCAGAGCCATGCTTGCCTAAGGGGAGTCTGGGGACGAGCAGTGACTCGCCTGCACTCACAAACAGTGTGACCAGCAGGTGGACTGGCCAGCAGACGGCCTAACACAGATGACCAGCAGGCTGACAGCTGAGAGAGACATAATGGCATGCTGACTGACAAGTGGACGCGTGGTGGCCAGTGGTGCCACCACATCCTCTGACTGAAGGGACAGCCACACTGACTTGTCCAGCTGGCCAGTGGACTCCTGGGCTGAAAGCTGGGTGACGAATCATCGACTACCAGGAAGAATGCCAGGCAGGCTGTCCCCCAAGCCCCTGGGGAAGCCTGATTATGGCGGCACCCAGAATCAGGTGAGGCTTGCCCCACCCGGGAGAAGGATCTCTGGAGACCCCAGTCCCACACTCACATCAACGAAGCCCACATTGGATGAGGCCACCAAGAGCTGGACATCCCTGGAAGAGAGGCAGAGACTTCAGGAAGGGGCCTAGCACCTCCCACCCCAGACTCCCCTGCCTGACACTGCGACCAGGGTGCAGTGACCCATTGCCCAGAAGAACACACTGAGGCTGCTGGGCCGGGGTCTCTCTCACCCCAGCACAGACGTGGTGCCCTGAAGTTTCACCCTGGACACAGAGAGCTGGAGGCGCAAGTTCACGACCTGGGTACGTGGGGAGAGCAGGATCAGAGGGCACAGAGCATAAGGGAGCCTGCCGCGGCCGCCAGCCACCCAGCCTCCCACCCACCCCCATGGGTGTCTGGGAGCACCCCCTATGCTAGGCCTTGCACAGAGCATAAGGGAGCCTGCTGCGGCCGCCAACCACCCAGCCTCCCACCCACCCCCACGGGTGTCTGTGGAGCACCCCCTGTGCTAGGCCTTGCACGGAGCACTGAGAGGGACCAGCGTGGTAGACAGGTCTCTGCCCAGGAGCCCACCCCAGGCCGGTGGGGCGCCAACAATAACCAGAATATCTGGACAGGATCCTGCCGGAGAGCAGCCGCCCCAGACTGAGACCTGAAAGAGGAGGAGGAGCCAGCCACGCCAAGAGCCAGGGCAGAAGAATCCTAGGCACTTGCAAAGGTCCCGAGGCAGGAATGTCCTGACATGTTCAAGCAACAGTGAGGAGATCGGTCTGAACAGAACCAAGCAAGTGCAGAGAGTACAGGCGGGAGTGAGGTCTTGAGAGCTGCCCGCCTGGCCTGGCCACTCACCACGTCCAGGGAGAAGAGGGACTGGAAGGCGGAGTTGGAGGCCGCGGCCAGGACCTCCACGAAGGGCTGCAGCCGCAGAGTGGCGTTGTTGGTGCGGAGAGTGACTACGGGCGTGGCCCCCAGCCGTACCTTGAGCACCACAGGCATGGGCTGAGGAAACTGGCGGGCCACCTGGGAGGCAGAGAGGAGGAGGCCCACTGGGGCGAGGCCGCCAGGCTCTTCATTCCATCGATCCTCAAGCGCCGATGAGGCCGCCACTGTGAGGGCTGCAGGCGTGGGTGCTCCCCAGGTGGCTGGCCAGATGAGAGGCCTGCGCTTCCCCCAGCAGGTGGCCGCTGAGCCTGGTCTTGGAGTCCCTCCAGGCAGCAGGCACTCTTGGGCATAGGCACAGGGGGACCAGCGAGCAAGACATCTGGGCAGAGGAGGGGCTCTCCCAACGTGGGGCGGGTACACGGGCAGGCGCTGACCCCGCTTGGGACAGGCGAGAGCAGCTGAGGCCCCAAGCCCGGAGAGCCACCACCTACGCCCACACCCCAGCCCTGGAGAAGAGCCTGCGGGGAGAGCGTGGGTGCGTGACGGGGGGAAGCCCAGGCGGAGCGTCACCAACCTCGGGGATGAGCCGGCCCAGGGTGGAGGTGTTCAGTGGGTTGTCCT